GAAAAAGTTCAGTGGATTAAAGTGTCGTAGATGATGGAGCTGATAAAAGAGATGTATGTAAGGAAGGAAGGTGGGATGATAGTAATAGCGTGTGTTGTGGGAGGCATTGGGGGCAAGTGCTTAGAGAAGAAAGCGGGTATCAAATGATGAACGTACCCGGCGAAATCAAAGAGTTCGTAGTGTGCGAACAGGTGCATAAAAGGACGGTAGTAGGAAAATACTGAGCTATGAATTCACATCTATATCATGTTATACCACAGCTCTTAATCACCGGGTATAGCTTGACCTACATTGCCCCCGCCAACTACCCACAAACCAACCCATCCCTAGGCTCCTCAACAACCTGCTTCCCCTCACCCTTCTGATCCGACAACACCTGCTTCTCTACTCTACCCTCAGGTTCCAAACCCGCATCCTTGACCTCTGCATCTTCCTTCTTGGCAGCTTGCTCCGCCTGCTGCTCTAGCCGTTTCTTCTCCTTCTTGCTGACCGTCATACTGCCCTTCTCCAAAGCCTCCTTTGGAAGCGGTCGGACATAGGGCTGGCAGACCCAGTAAGGGCGTTTGCAGCGAGCCACAGTGGCTAGCGAAGACTCATAAGGGTCGAGGGGTTCGGTAGGTGCTGCGGAGGTGTCTTGGGCGGTAGATTCAGCTACGGCTGTTGTGTCCTCTGTGGTCTTGGCTTGCTCCTGCTCGTATTTTTGGATACCTTCTTTCACAGCTGCCTCGACCAGACTGAGGACATTCTCGAACGCATCAATATCGCCTGTCCGCGAACGTGCAAGCGCGTCTCGTACGTTGTGGTGCTCTGCGACGAGCGGTCGAAGGAGATGGAAGAGATGTGCCTGCATGGCCGTTAAGTTTGGATTCGACGCCTCCTTCTTCTTCTCGGATTTGGACATTTGCTTTCTCTTCTTCTTTGGCGGGCCTTGCTCATCCTCTTCGTCTGACTTGGCTGCCTCTTCTTGCTTGGGGAGTTCCTCAGGATCTCCAGGCATCCATAACGGTTTCCGTTGGGGAGGTTCTTGACCCAGCGCGTACTTGTGTATAATGTCCATGTATCGTCTCATCACAGCATCCATCCTGTACCCGCCTTTGCCATCACGACCCCTCCAGTATTCACGCCCTTCTTGGCCTACGGGTGGCGGCGGCGCAAAGATGGTTGGGTCATACAGGTTTCCTTCTGCGCTCATCACACCATCTGCACCTGTTGCCTCTAGACACGCTGCAATATCCTCGTGCTGTAGAATGTTTCCGTTTGCAAATAGTACAGTCTCTTTGGGCAGGTTTTCTCGCAGAAATCGAATCATCTGCCAATCTGCCAATCCCGTGTTGTGACCTTTTTGTTCTCTCCGCCGACCATGAACTGTGAGGATGCTTGCGCCTGCATCTAGTATCGTCTTTGCATACGCCAACGTCTTCTCTGGCGTCTCCAGAATTCGCATCTTCGCCGTGACGGGAATATCGAGCTCCTCGTGTAGTTTCCGAATCATTCTCGCAATCAAATCCCAGTCTTCCTGCAAGAATGCACCATATTTTCCTCGTTTCGCAATTCCTTGGGGGCATCCCAAGTTCAAGTCTACCGCGTCGCAAAATGGCGCAACGTGCTTGGCTGCTCTGAGAAAGTCATCTGGATCGTTGGAGCAGAATTGAACAGTGAGGGGCCTGTCGAAGGCTGGGTTGCCGTCAAGATGTCTGCTCGAATCAGGGAGCTGAGACAAGTGGTAGTTATCGACAGGTGAAGGGAGAGGCGACTTGAGGGGCTGGAAGTGCGAATCCCGGTACTGGCTCTTCTCGCCAAACATTTTGGAGTGGAACATGGGCGTATACGCTAGGAGGGATCCCTTCTCGGAATCGGGGAGGAAAGAGCGCGATAGAAGTCGCCATGCCTACAAAGACGTTATTGTTAGCCTGAGATCTTGCAGGGAAAGGGCAACAGTGGCATGGAAACATACGAACTCTGACTGTTCCACCATGGGCGCAAGCACGAGTTTCGGGCTTCCGATGCTCTCGTAGAATGCGCGCCCATGTAATTTTCGTGGCTTCCCATTCGCCTGCACCGTCCCATTGCTATGCAATGCTCCTGCAGCCTCCCCTTGCACCGTCTGAGTTGTGGTAGTCGCCATGATGCCGAATTGTCGTCGCGAAACTCGGACTGCTTTCGTGGGGGCGATTGCGCCCCCAAAAGCCTTGAACAGGGAGGAGCGTATGACGTCGAATGCCAGATGCGCTCAGGGTCGTCCGGGACGTTTTCTGCCAAGTGCCACGGTGCCTGGATTGATCAAAGACAAGGGTTAGGGTCATGGTGAATTGGCGGAGAAAAAAAGCGACATTGACCACTCCGCCGAAGCCGACCAATCGGCGTTCGCCAAAGCTCCGCGCCAGCCCAGTGCGACGAGCGTTGACCATATGTTCGTCAGAGTCATAAGATGTTGTGCAGCAAGACCTTGTCGGTTGGCGCTTTGCTTTTTGGCATTTTAATTTCCGCTTGTGACACGTTGTGACCAGCCATGTGCTGCTGCACCACATTGCATCTTCGTACACCAAGCTCACCTCCATTCAAGCCAGGCAAAGAGGTCCGGCACGCACACCCTCGATACCAATCAGAATCCGGCCTCACAGGATACGAATATATACAGCACCATCGACATGACGTACGCTGTTTCAAACCTTCAGCGCGGTCACGCGATCGATGACTCTATCCTTTGCTCATCCCCTGGTCGCAATCACGCCATCACGGTGCCATATGGCAACGCCGATCCAGAAACTTAAAAGTCAGCCTCTGCTCTCACTCAAATCTACTCTGCAATGTTGCACGCATCAGGTTATACCAATGTTCATTCTAACGACAACCAAGTCGCATGGTATGATGGCTCAAGAGCCTCGCTCATGTTGAGACGCTATAACAGTACACAGATAAAAGACATGATGTTGAACCAGACCCCATGAACGGACGAACGCCATATCTGTCGACCATCCCGCCTCATCCTCCGTCCATCGTCCATCGTACGGAAACGTCTAATTGTAGTACCCAACCGACAGTCATTACTCCGGATATCTCGTCGGCCGTGAAAAGGGATTGATTTGGAAAAGGGGGAGCGACTGCCCTCGAGGAATGTGGCCCGAAAGGAGGTAATAGGAAAACGCTGAAATGACAAAAGACCAACCCAACTGGTGAAAGCAAGACGCCATTATTATGCAAATGTTATGCAGAGACTTTGGTTGAAGTCCGAAAAGGTGGAGTAACCGATGCGGCGGCAATCGTGGTCATCCGGATATCATCGAGAGAAGGTATGACATGAGGTAAAAAAAACACGGCCCAGCTGCAAAGCAGGCGGGCAATGGAGACGCCAGGTGTTTAGAAAGTGCTCCAGTTCCAGGTCCCCTGGAGGCTCTGCGCCAAGCTGCCCACGCGGGTATTGTCTGGCCGCTTCGCAACCGCGGGAGTCTGAATCGACTTTGCCGAGGCCGGTCCGCTGCTGTCAGAGCTCTCGCTGTTAGTTCGGCTGGAGCGCAGATGCTCCCACTCGCGGAAGGAGCTGTGACAACGATCACATGCACGGTGCCAGTGACCTTGGGGATGGAAGCGCGCAAGCTCGTCAAGGCGGACTTGGTTGCGAGAGTGCTGTGCGCAGAAGATGCCGCCGCACTTGCGGCAGTGGTGACGGCGCTGGAAGAATCCAAAGGGCTCCTGGCAAGACGAGGCGGAGCAGACCAGCGTGGAAGCATCGGCCTAAAGAAGAGGGTTAGTATCATTGGTCTGGACTTTCGATACAACTAGAAGCCAAAAAGAGCTTGGCGGGCTAAAGAGATCAAGCCCTGCATCGGGTAAATTCTTTAGCGCGGGGGTGTGGACGATGGCCTAGTGACCGAAGTGGCAAGTCGGTGGGCACGCAAGACGATCAAATTTCCCAACGCCTCACGCTGCCTCAGAGGTAGCGATATTGGCCGGACTGCAGCAGTGGGCCGTGGAGTCGTGCATCTTGCCCACATGTTTATTGAAATGTGGCAAGTAGCAAGCGCTCGGCATCTCGGCTCAGCAGACAGCGGGAGGACCGACAAGCACGACGCTAGCGAGGTCCACTTCGGCCATGTACGTAAGACGGGACCCTCGAGCCCCCAACCGAGCACGCGACAAGAGTGGCATGCACCAGGGCCAATAGGGGCGAAAGAGAGAGTAGTAATAACATACCTGCCAGTGGTTCCGTGTAATTGGTCCGGCAACGGGAGACAAGGGTTCGGGACTGTAGAGGCTCTGCATGTCTTCG